TTGAAAAAACACTTTCAAAATCTTAAATTTAGTGTTGTAGTTTGATGATTTTATAGCACGTAGTGATTTGGTGTAACGTGGATAAAATTGTTCTGATGCAATTTAAAATTTCTGTTCGATGGCACTGTACCATTTTGATGAGTGGTAATCAGAAGGTCAGAAGTATCATAGTAACCGAGGTTACAGTCAGGAGTCCCTTCATCACGTATTCCAGTCAAAATCCTTTGAATTTTCTAGATATGGAAGTGATAATGATAAAAGAAGATGACAAGTGTTTAAGTCCTTTTCAATTAAACCCGATACGGATTACGTTTCTTCAATAAGAACACGCAACTCGACACGAGATAATATAATACATAAGTGTTACAAATAAAAAATTTCGTCGAAAGTTATTTTGTCATTTATTGTTCCGAGTATGCAAGCGGCGTTCGCAATCTGTATTGCCAGGGAGATTCTCTGTTTTAAAAAGCTGCCTGCTCTGGGTTCCTCAGTGCATGTGCATATGCTTAAGTTCTTACAAAGCTTGCTCAAAAAAAAATCTGTGCTGGCGCCGGCCGAGCCCTAAATTACAAAAGCTAGCGGTTGAAAAAGATATCCATCATTTACAAGATCTTTATACTTGTCAATTTGTTGCTCCTCCGCTTCAGCGGCAGCCGTACCAGGGTTACAAACAGACGCGGCATTAATCTTATAAGGAGCTAAGGAGTCTACTACCGTTACATCTCACAAGAGCTGCTTACCAACAGCCCATGGAACGAGCGTCAAACCGTCTGGTCGCTTCTGATCGGTCCTGTAGAGCTGTCGTGTTTCTAAAACAGACGGAATGTGAGTAGATGATAAACTCTGTTTTATAAGGGTATTCAAGTTTGAATGCCTGGAGAATCTCCCTGCACTTTTGAGGCAAGAAAGACCATGCCAACCAACCTCGGTAACGTTTTTCCGCACACGCATTTATGCCGTTCGCATATTTTTGATCCTAATCGAAATCCTATCCCAATTCTGAGTTGTTGGTTCGACAGTTGCAACCTTAAATTTTTGCATGGGATGACGTTCAACCATTGGGAGCCAAATCTATCTTGGAACGCGTTGAACCTTTTCATGTCCGTTGGTTCGAGTCGTAAAATCAAGTCTGCAATTTTGCTGTCAAAAATTGGCTCCGTCCAATTTTTTTGGATTTCATTTTCCGGAGCCATTTCAATTTTTCCAAGTTCAAACCAACATTTAAGCGCATCATCATAGGTTCCATCCACATGCTCCAAACCAAAGATTTCGCTCAAGACATCTTTTGCTCCTACTGCTGAGGCTAAGAAAGCGGGTAAAGCGAGTAGACGAGCGGAAGAAACGCCCAAACCACCTTTGGCTGCCGGGAGAACTGCTTGTAAAAACTGGTTATTATCCATTTTCACGTTAGTGACCTTGCATAACGAATTTCGCAGTAATTTATCGTAGCGTTCCAAAAATAAATTTGCAAAAAACAAGGGCTCGTACGCAAAAAATATAGGAGTTTTGGCATGCTAAAGCAATTTTTCAGGAGGTAAAAACCATATTGGGTGTCTAGTTTGTCAATGACATCCGAGACTTTTTTAAGCTCCTTAATTTTTTCGTCGAGCAATTCTTTTCGGCAAAGTTCGCCGATTGGAGATCCTAAAATGAGGAGTTCTTCTTTTGTTTTTATTTTGGGGCATATTTTTCGAAAATGTGTTAAAATTGAATTATACTGTGTACTAGTAGTCGGTCCCAAAAAACAAAGTTCGCACTTCTCAGTGTTCAAGCTCAGGCTTCAAAATGTTCTGACTTCAGAATGTTTTTAAGGTCCCGGAGTACTACCTTATAGTCTTCGGCTGAATTCCCATAATCTAAATACCAAATGTTACTTTTCGACTCCAACTGTTTGACTAGTGTATGAATTGTTTCCGCAAAAAAGGGTGGGGCTTCAAGATCACCTTGCTGAGTTCCGTCTTCTGACATTATGACAGAGCTTCCGTGAAAAAGGTAACTAGGTTTACCATACGCGCAATGGGTGTAATTATACAATTCGGGGCGATTTGAATAAAAATGATTCAGCATTGTTTCTCTGTTTGAAGAGTTAAAGGCGTTCTTAAAATCTAGTTTTAAAAGAACAGTGCATTTTGGATTGTCGTCGCGTTCATTTAGGTTTCGAAACGAGTGCGCATCTATTTCTGCTCCTCGTTTGGTACCGCATCCTACCTGTACGTTTCCGAAAAAATTTTGTCGCTCGGAGAGGGCCTTGCTTCCAGCGCATTTAGACGCGATACATCTCAGCGTGTTGCCAATGGCAATCGTTCTCAACTCTCCGTCTATCTTTATGAGGGCGATAAGCTTTGCGCCAAAAAAGAAAGGTCTTAGTGGTTCGGGTATTTTGCCATCTCCAATGAGGTTTATCAGCTTAGTAAGCGATTTCAGGAAACTAAGTCCTGCACTGCCATTCGACTTACTAACAAGATCTTTAAAAATTTGTGGAACTATTTTATCAGGACCTGCTGCTGATCCGTTTGGAAAGGACATTATCGCGTTGTATAGGTCGAAATCGGTTACGAAAAAACTATCCAATTTTTCTGGATTTGGATCTGCAAATTTGGCTCGCTGAGGGTGCTTAGACAACAATTTTTGATAGTTATCAGTTGAAAAGGGAGCAATTTTGTCATCCGAAGATGCAAGTCTTATTCCTCCCTTTACATTTCCTTCATTGAGCTTACTACTTATTAACTTTATTCTCTGCTCGAGGTCACTCAGAGGCCGGCTTGAAACTTGGGGATGAGGTTTTGGAAGTGACACGTCATTTGCTCGAATTTTTTTATTTATCAAAGAGCTCATGCTTGTAGTCTGTTTGCGTCTACTTCTTTTCGGTTGCTCCAAAAAAACAAGAACGACGTTAAACAATTAGCCATTTTGTAACATCTTCTACATTGTAGACGATGTCATTTATTTTGTCCGACAGACTTTTCGCCAAGGGAACACGCGAGTCTTTTGTTACTCTCTTGAGTACTCGGACATTTGAGATGGCTGTATTAACATAATTGTCTAGCACTAAATCATTACCTATTGTTGCTTTATTAACAGATTTTACATCAACGCATAAAGGACACTGAAACCATTGGGTTTTCTTAGTGTCGCTAAGAGAAATATTTACACTACTGATATGATACCAACTAGAACAACAATCATATTTAATCCAATTTATCAGTCCTGAAGGTTTTAAGCAATCTTTGCTTGCTTACTCTTTTCTGTTTTTCCTCATCTTGACGCAGCATAAAGGTAAAAAAAAGGATTTTGACTGGACTTTAGGGGACTGAACTAACCCATGATAAGCGGTTAGTGGGAACTATACAAATCAGCAAATAAAAAAAATAAAAGACAATTAAATTAATTTTAATTTTAAAATCGAATTATAAAAATCAAAAACAAGGAACAATCTCACCCGAGCTCAGTAGGTCCATCGGCGCACCACCAGACTCCACAAGCCAATTCCAGTTTTCCACCTCCCCACAGAAAGCCACTTGACAGACCTGTCTCTAAAATTCCTCAGAGGGCGCTCCACAAACAGGCACAAACATTAAACATAACAAATCTATTTAATAAATTTATAACAACAATTAGAATAAGTCTTTTGATAAGTTACTCGAAGTTCAAAGAGGACATTGACCGGGGCTTTCCGGGGAGTGTGTGCCATTCGACCAGATTGCCGCTGGCAAATGGTTCGTCAAAATTAATTTTTTTTGAAGTGATTCGACTGTACGAAAGAACAGTTCCACTGATTAATGGTCTTATTTGAAAAAAAATTAGATTGGGAAAGGTCACTATGAGTTGACATGCTCATTTTTAAAAGTTAGTACGAAGAGATATACACGTGAACATCTTTTATTTTCGCGAGAACTGAAAAATAGCGAAAATCAGAACCGTAATTTTCGCTTGTACAAATGAGAATCACGGCGAGCGAGACAGAAATAACGTGAGCAGAGACAGTCGCAGAATTAACGAGAAGAATTTTTCCGAGTTGTAATGATTGTGCTGTTACAGTCGTTACAGGAAGAATTGAACAAATCGGGAAGGCTGAAGGTGAAGGTAGCAACCCTTACTGACCAAGAAGAAGGCGTCTAGTCAGGACTATTGAAGAAATTGGAAGGTTCTGGAGATACACTCCTGAACTGTAGTCTTAACAACTTTTAGCTTCTGTAGATGTCCTGAATTTAAATTATATCATCTATTTCCAGTTTCGGTCTATGAGAAGCTACGGATTAAGGAAAGGGTCGATCCATCTCCGATAGGTAGTGTGATTTTCTCTAATGTAGAAAAACAATAGTAATATGGTAGCTTAATATGATAATATTTATAAGAAATTTATAATGTTATTTCAAACGTTTTAGCACATTTTGTGCATCATCAGGATTAACATTTTGAAAATATGATAATGTATCTACCCCATTTTTAGGAGTGACCTCGTGGTCTGGGGATACTGAGACCCAGCCATGAGTCCATTATTTTGCATGCGACTAAGTTAATTTGCGCGAATCGGCTGATAGCCTTCAACCAGTAACAACTCGTTGACCGGTTGTTATGAGGACCATTTCGAACATGCTTTGGTAGAGACGGCTAAAAGCACGTGAAGCTCTATCTTGACTCTAGCCAGTCTATATGGTATAATGATGATGATGATGACGATGAAAAAATTAATTCCCTTAAAAAATTAAGGCAAAAAAAAATAAAAATATAAAGTCAAGATCGACAATTTGAACAAGTGCACTTCAAGAACCATGAACAAGAGTCCAGTTGATCAAAAATTGACAAAGTTACCGGATATAGTTTTACTTTCCGTCGTTATGTACTTTCCGAGCAAATGTTACAAACTTTTAAGAATTATTCTGTTCAATTTTCTGTACACGTTGTTTTACCGGATCCTCATTGAGGTAGAAACCAGTCTAAAATCTAGCTCAGTGCTACTGGGATTTTTCACAAATTTACATAACGAGATAGAGGGAGTTGTTTCAGATAGATATTGTTGTGTGACAGAAATGTCTCGAGTTCAAGTTAACATTCTCTATTGGTATGTGCATGATAAAGTTTTGTATTGTGAACAAATATGACCAAATTTTTCTGTTGTCGAGAAAAAAGTATCAGTTTACCTTGAATTAATTTATGAATCGGTGTCACGTATTCATAGTTATCAAATAAGACATTGAAGGCTTTATTTTAGCGGTGCATGAGGGTACAGAAGTAAGGCCAATCGGCTAATCAGTGACATCAAAAATGAGTTCGCTAGCTATGGAATCGAATTTGTAAGTGTTACTTTTGCGCTTTGCTTGTTACCTTTGAAAATGCCCTAAAAATAAGAGTTTTTTTGAAAAGTCCGAATTTTTTTAAATAAAAAACCTTCATAATGTATTGACGCTTTAAACTGTCTGTATCTTCCTTTCCTTGTTCTAGGATTCCGAGGGCACTCCGAGAGCGACTGGCTACTTCGAGGTCTCAGTAAACGGAGAACTTGTTCACTCCAAGAAGGTAAAAGGCTTTTACACTCATTTTATCGTGCATTTTGAAGTGTTTAGGGAGGATATCTTGAGTTGATGTTGTTGTAGTATACACTGTCTGGCAATCCATGGGCTAAACTCCTCAGTTTTACGAGTTTTTCAGGGGTCAAGTATTCCTTTATATACAACTTTCGCCACGTGCAACAATAGTTTTAATTGAATTTTTTGCTGTAGATTCTTTTTTGCATCTGTTTGTTGCCCACTTTTTGCTATGTTCAATAACTTGGAAGTTCGGATCCACAAATTTTCATCAAATTGTTTTAGACGCTGTTAAAGCACTAAAAGCACTTTAACAGTCGTGTAACACCTGTGCGGCTATTCATACCCTACTTTGCCATTGGGACACAATTTTACACTAGCAAAGCTTGTGTTGTAGCATGAACTCTCTTTTTTTCCAACATAAGTCGCAAATTTTGTTCGACGCAAATATTGTTGCGACAAAATGTGTTCATTTTGATCAATAACCAGCTAAGGCTCGGATGCTACGGCTCGGATGTTTTAATGAACTTTTTCGTATACTAGTTAAACTGCTTATGTATGCGAAGTGCAACTTCGTCTCTGCGTTTCAATTTCGTGTCAGTTCTCGAAGGTTACCAGAACTAACAGGCAAATAGCGGTGCTGGTGCAACGTATCCTGTTTAAGCGTTCAGTTTTGTTTCGCCGAGATTCTTCTGTTCCGTTCTCAAAGTTTTTTGGAGTTGCCCATATTGAGTGTCATTAGATTATCCTTTCTCCATTTTCCAACCTTTGATGCTATTCTTTCTGAATCTGTCTCGAATTTAAAATCGTTTGCATATCCATAGGCTTACCCATATTTTTTTGCATAGGAAGAGCATTCGCGTAGAAAAGTAACAACAGAAAGCATAGTTAGAGCCCAAAGGTTACATCACTTGTGCAGGAGAGAGTATCTGATTTACAGCTGCCAATACGTTATGTTAGTTGACTGATTTGATATGTAGCTGACTAGTATTTCTAAAAAACAATCGTCCAATACCAACATTTACCATTTTTCCGCTTCTACAGCTTCTGCAAATGTGACTTTGTAAATCTGGCGGCTAAATGGCCCATCAGCCCTTTGATGCCTTTCTGTTACAGCAATATGAATGTAAATACGGATTTGTCGTATAATTGGATCTGTGAATTAATTGATAAGCATACCCCTCGTAGAAAGTCAAAATCTTTCTCCCTGGATTTCCTCTGAAATCGCGCATGTAATAAATAAGATGGAAACTCTGGGAAAGACATTAAAGAAAAACTGCAATAAGTATTACCTTGTTCAACAAAGTTCAAGCGTTTCGAATTGAATGCTCTCGATTGCAAGATCTGTTAGGCAGCAATATGAAAAAGACTTGTTTTCAACGAGAAAAAGAAAAAGGATATTCAAATACCTAATAAGTCTCGGCAGAGAAAAGTTAACACCAAAATCATCGACCCCTCAACAAGTTGCGAAGTCAGTGACTATATAGACAAAGTCAATCTCTTCAATGACTACTTTGCGGCGGTTGTCACCGATTCAGAATATAATTTCGTTAAGCCAACTCCAGCGGTATCTTATGACCTGAAAAAAAGTAAACTTCACCATGAGATCAATTGAATCAGAGCTCCAAGAGATTGATATTAGTAAAAGCAGAGAACCAGATCAATTTCCACCCAGCTTTTTCAAAAGAACTAGTACCGAAATTGCTAAATCAATGTTTACTTCATTTAAAACATTCGTTCGATTGAAGAGATTTCCCCGGAAATGGATAAATGGAATTGTTCTGCCGATCTTCAAGGAAGACAGCAAAGCAGATGTCTCGAACTATCATCCAGTAACATTATTGAATGTTGTTTCTAAAATTCTTAAAAATTTCGTTTCCGGAGCCATAACTGAAAGTTTTGGAGATAAGAAAGAAGAATCGAATTGAAAAACGGTCGGTTGACATTGCGATGAACTGAATGTTGAAAAAGAAAAATTGTGGCAATTTTATAACAAGAAATTCTTCATAAAAACAATTGAATTGGCCTTATAGTTATTCAAATCTAAGTTTTTCAGATTTATAAACTGATTTCGTTCAAGCCAAAGCCCTGAAAAAAGTTCGAGAAGTTAAATGTCTCACTGATAGAATTTTAAAAAATGACAATATTGTTTCAGTTCAAGCTGGGTTTTTATTTTATTTTGTTAGTCACGATGAACCCAATGAATGTTTCGGATTAAAGTGGAGCATTATCTCAAGAACAAGAGATCGTAAGTAACAATTCAGAGATAAAAAAGTGAGAGATGTGTACCAAGAGGTGAAAAAGATGAGAGCTCTTGCAATTGAACAAGGGCAGAAAATAAAAGATCTTGAATAAAATCAGACTAAATTAGATGATCGATTGCGAGCACAAAAGCGCCACACGAGGAAACATAATGAAATCATCTTTGGATGCGAGAAATGTTCATAATGTTAATAGTGAAACAGAGATTTTTATTAAAATGTTTTTGCGAATAAAAATAAATGAGGAAAGGATTAAAATATCACATTTGCCTGGCAAGGCGTTTGATGGGCTATTACCGAGCCTAGTTTGCAAATTAATATACTTCGCAGATAAAGTAATTTTTTTTCAAGCCCGTTTTCAATTACGCCATAAATTGAATACGAGAAACCAAAATACGTTTACGTGAGTGAGCGTCTGAACCCATCTGAGGTTTCTGCAAACAGCGAAAACGAACGAGGTAAATTTGTGCGCGTACCGTACAAGACGGATTTGCTGAAATATGAAAAGACTACTATCAACCGAAACTATCGGGATCGGTCGAAAGAGATGATACTGAGAGATCTCTAGTGTATAAAAAGAAAAACACTGGCAAATAATGAACATCATAAGAAATGATAACTGAGACCCAAAACCATATTTCTTTTTGTACTAATATTCGTTGTTGGGAATTGATATATTAATCTGAAACTCATATTCATTAACTATTCTTTTTTGAATATTAATTTTTCTGTTGTGATTAAGATTAATTGAGTTGATATCTCTTGCGTTCCTTTTCCATTATCTCACTGGGCCCTTTTTTCGTTTATTTAATTAATTTTTTCTTTCGATTGTTTTTCAAAGATAGAAGAGAATGAACACGCAGCTCAACTTCTTGCACATGTGTCGTAACCATGAAAAAAATATTTGTTATTGTTTTTTCTTTTTTCAATGGTGATGACCCGCCTGTGATACCTCAGAGGCGGCCACAAGTTGCTGTGAGATCGTAGCAAAAAAGAGGTTCAGACAGGCTTTCGCCAATTGTTTTGCTTCTACGAATATACGAATTGTTCTCTACTGTAGGCAGATGTGATCGATTTTTTAGTTTCATATATGTACAAAAACACTGGCCAGTACAGGTTGTTTTCTCTTTGCTTCTTCAAAGTATGACACAGACTACAAGAAAACACCTCAGTCTTCGTTTGGCTTCAAAATATTAGATCACTACCAAACAAAATTGATAAATTTTGCGTACTGCTCATGAGTTATTCCGAAAAACCAATGGCAATTAGACATAGGACAAAAGTGTTCTCAATACCGGGTTATCACCAAAAAAAAAGATTGCTCACGGGTAAAAAGGGGAAATGGCATTGGAGTGTTTTTGCGTGAAGAATTCAAATATGAAATAATCCTTCAAACAAACTAAAACAATATTTAAATAATTACAATTGAATTTTTACAAAGACTCTGTGGGGACCTACTAAACATGCTTTTATATTCCACCTAGTTCATTTAATAAAAAACCTAAGATGTCCTACAATCTCACCTGAAAGACTACGTCTCTACGTCTCTGAAAGACTACGTCTCACCTGAAAGACTATATCTCTATTTTACTAAACATTATTTGCGGCGGATTGAATGTAAATGGAACTATCAAACATTTTCTTGGGATATAACTTGAAGATAATCAATAAGTAGGATCTAGATACAAAAGCGTTAGACTTGTTTTTTTAAACACGAAGGGTATACGAGTGTTATGAAAACAGCCATAAGTGACCATTACACAGTAGCTTTCAACACCAAATCCGAAACCAAAGAAAGTGGACTAAACCAATTAAATACAGAAAATGGAAAAAACTTGAAAACGCCTCATTAGCGATGGATCTCAGTAAAGTTTAAGAAAGGAGCTGAAGGTTCCTAACCGAGAAATTTGTTCAATGGTTTGCGAAACTGCTTTCAAAAAGTTTCAGAATATCTTGACAATTAAGCTTAATGAATTCCTCCCTGAGAAAAAACGATCTGAAGAAATTGGGAATGATAACCAAGTTAAAAAGGCTGCTGCAAAACAGAATGCACCAAAACAGTTCTGGTTAAAAGAGAAGTCCAGCAAAAAAAGAGATATTTACGAAAAACAGAATAGAAAAGTGATAGCAATGAACGTTATTTCTAGCTACAAAGACTAGATAAACAAGTGAAGAAAGGGAGTAGAGAAAACTTTCAATGAGGAAAGGAAACCAAAAAAAGGCGGCAGGATATAGATGAATCAAAGTTGATCATTTTTTATGTTTTTTTTTCTCCAACAATAGGGGAGAAACTTGCAAAGAGAATGGACAAGAGGAGCAATCCAATTTTAACTACCACTTCCAATAACTTCATTCAAAAAGTGCATCAAAAAGCATTAAACGAGACTAGTAAGTGGCTGGAGAACAATACTATTACTCTTAACACTGACAGCTGTTTGTGTTGAGGTTTTCAATATGTTAGGGGAGGCCGAGGGCTCGGTGATTTTTAATGATCAGACAGCATTTAGTGAAGTGGACGTTAATATTGTTATTGCTGATGCCATGTCGAATGATAATAACTTCACGACGTCGAGCTGCACCTCGATTTGTGTGTTGGCTCTGAACTATCTTGGAGGTCCCTAGAAGAGTCCATGGCTAGAACTTGATTGAGCTAGGAAGTCCGTATTGGGTCAGTTTGCTACATCCAAAGTCGCACATTCCTGTATTAAATCACTACTGCGCCAAAAACAGCGACAGCTCTCTAATCTCAGGCCACAGATCGGGGCAAAAACTTGTGAAGCATCGTCATAACCAAATTTTGAATGATTTTTGTATTCAGCTTCTATTTCAAGTTTACTTCCTAGATGACAATTTCAATTTTGATGATTACGGGGTCATTTCCACGATCTGTTGACAGGCTGGATAGGCTGGATAGTTTCTTACCGTAACAAGGCTAAATTCATCGAAGAAGAACGCAAAATAAAGCTTGTCGAGGTTTGAAGCATCTAAAGAGTTGTCATTTGATTTCACTACCTAGATTTTTGCACAGTGTCTCCACGCTTTCTAGGTTTCCGTCTTTCTCCAATGGCACTGGGACTATGTTTACTGTGCAGGTGTTTATGTTTTGCAAGTGTTTCATCCGATTTATTGGTGCCTGGCTTTGAATAAATTATTTCTAATTCTAAGGAGGCGCTTTCGTCCTAAAAAGGCCATTCTTTTTCCGCTGTATCAAGTAAACTTAACATACAGCAAGCTAAAATGATTCATGTAGATTTACAAAATGAGATATTCCTTGATGCTATTTTGAGAACAGCGATCAGATAAGAATCTTAGAAGGTTGAATATTAGGACGAAATACGTGGTTGAAGTACTTTCCATCCTTCTGAAAGATAGAACCTTTTGCCGTAGACTGTTTTCAGTAGACCTTGTGCCGAGAAGACTGTTTTTAAAAAATCGCAAGGTATTGAAGATCGTTTGCTGTTCTTGCAATGAGCGCGATATTTTTAAAGAGTTGATGTTTTTTAAGAGTAGATGAACGTAATTCAGACTCGGTAATAGGTCTTGATGATTTTTTTAGTTATTTTTTTTCAGGAAGTCTTTTAAAATTTATTCAGACTCAAATGTAATTTTTCGCGATTGAAATTTTGATTTCTTTTTAAGTTTAGTTCATATCCTTTGTTAAAAGGAAGGCGAACTCCACTATCGAACAGCAAAAGGGTAAATTTCATGCATAGCGTGATTGACGTTTCGAAAATGGGATTTAGTTTTAAGATTTCCCAGCGAAATAAAAAGCATACCTATTGATCCAGTTTTCTCAAATTGGGTTAATTTTATTGGGTTACTCTATTTTAACTGTTTTCTGCAAAGTTTGAGTTTTAACTTTAAATGGTTTTTCCATTGGAACGACAAACTTTCGAAAAAAATTATTCGACGTTTTTTTGCTATAATTGTTTTGTGGTAGAACATACATGGCAAGGAGACAGCAAGCGGGCAATCCAATCGTGTTTAAATAAATTGTTTGAGGAAATAGGTTCGAAATTTGAGAAATAGTCATCGGCCTCCTGTATCTTTTCATTTTTCTTTCTATACAATTATCTTCCTGAGTCTATCATTAATCGTTTTACTTCTTAATCTTGCCATTCTTTTAAAATCTCCAACAGGAGAGTCCGATGTCATCTGCTCTAAGTTTGCTCTTTTCAGTTTTAAATTCTTTTGGCAAAAAATGGCCAACTTTATTCTCGAAAATCAAAAGTTTCTTCAGTTTGCTGTTAGCAAGCATTATTAAATTGGATTATGGATATGTCTAACAAAATCACTGACTAAGTTTCCTACCTGAATTCTCTGAATTTTTTTAACCAACAGTCAAATTTTTAGCATTTTTTTTTTAAATATTTCTATTCAAAATTTTTTTTAAGTTGGTTGTAAATTTAACTAACTCCGATATGGTAAAGTTCAGCTTTTTCGTTTTTTCTTTTCATTTTGTTCAGTCTAAAAAGTTTTAACTTGGGTATTCTCGGTCCAGATTAATCATTTCGCGTCGTTTTTCTGATCTGTTTATTTAAAGATTTTGTTTTCTGAAATTAACTTTTTTTTCAGCTCAACAGGTGTCTGCTCAAGTATTGTCGGCTTTAGAACCGCTGCGTAATATTTCTTCCGATTCTAACTCAACTTTAAGCTGTGTTACTTGTAGTATTTGTCTTAAAATGAACTTCATAGAGGACAGATTCAGACAAACATTCTTTATTTTAAATTTTCTGTTCATGTTCCTTTTCGGCGTAGCGGCTTTCGTCTTATTTCCTGTTGGCTAATTTGCCCCGGTATTTAGGATTTATCCAAATGACGCGAAGCTCTGCTTTGCTTCTAGGCTTAAAACATGGATTTTAATGAAAAATTTTGATCACCAAAAGCTTTTAGGTATTTTTTGGAATTCTTCTTCATTGATACTGTTTTGGCTCTATCTTTTGATTGATTTATGAGTGGTAGTGTCTTCAGGATGCCCTGTTTAAAAATAGTTTGGGAATCTTTTATAAAATGATGTTTCTTTGATTATAATTGATGTCATTAAAAATTCTCATTTCGAAAATTTGAAAGATAGTGTAGAGATTTTAATTAGATCCAAAGTTATCTGCTCGCGTTTACATAATTGGACAATGAATGGGTTGTTGTCTTTATAGAAGGGCGACGGCTACGTTGACAGCGAGAAGAAACTGAAGAAGATCTTCTCAGCTGTGGAAGTGGCACTGGGGTTGAAGGAGTAGAAGAGAGGAGATCAGACTCACATGGCCGACTGAGATGAGCTAACTTAATACACCTCTACTAACAAGTGCCAAGAAACGACATGAACAGAACATTACATTGAACAACAGTGAGTTTCAATTGGGTTATGCTGGTTCATTTTTTGGCATTAATTGGAATTGATATATTAATCTGAAACTCATATTCATTAACTATTCTTTTTTGAATATTAATTTTTCTGTTGTGATTAAGATTAATTGAGTTGATATCTCTTGCGTTCCTTTTCCATTATCTCACTGGGCCCTTTTTTCGTTTATTTAATTAATTTTTTCTTTCGATTTTTTTTCAAAGATAGAAGAGAATGAACACGCAGCTCAACTTCTTGCACATGTGTCGTAACCAATGAAAAAAATATTTGTTATTGTCTTTTCTTTTTCCAATGGTGATGACCCGCCTGTGATACCTCAGAGGCGGCCACAAGTTGCTGTGAGATCGTAGCAAAAAAGAGGTTCAGACAGGCTTTCGCCAATTGTTTTGCTTCTACGAATATACGAATTGTTCTCTACTGTAGGCAGATGTGATCGATTTTTTAGTTTCATATATGTACAAAAACACTGGCCAGTACAGGTTGTTTTCTCTTTGCTTCTTCAAAGTATGACACAGACTACAAGAAAACACCTCAGTCTTCGTTTGGCTTCAAAATATTAGATCACTACCAAACAAAATTGATAAATTTTGCGTACTGCTCATGAGTTATTCCGAAAAACCAATGGCAATTAGACATAGGACAAAAGTGTTCTCAATACCGGGTTATCACCAAAAAAAAAGATTGCTCACGGGTAAAAAGGGGAAATGGCATTGGAGTGTTTTTGCGTGAAGAATTCAAATATGAAATAATCCTTCAAACAAACTAAAACAATATTTAAATAATTACAATTGAATTTTTACAAAGACTCTGTGGGGACCTACTAAACATGCTTTTATATTCCACCTAGTTCATTTAATAAAAAACCTAAGATGTCCTACAATCTCACCTGAAAGACTACGTCTCTGAAAGACTACGTCTCACCTGAAAGACTATATCTCTATTTTACTAAACATTATTTGCGGCGGATTGAATGTAAATGGAACTATCAAACATTTTCTTGGGATATAACTTGAAGATAATCAATAAGTAGGATCTAGATACAAAAGCGTTAGACTTGTTTTTTTAAACACGAAGGGTATACGAGTGTTATGAAAACAGCCATAAGTGACCATTACACAGTAGCTTTCAACACCAAATCCGAAACCAAAGAAAGTGGACTAAACCAATTAAATACAGAAAATGGAAAAAACTTGAAAACGCCTCATTAGCGATGGATCTCAGTAAAGTTTAAGAAAGGAGCTGAAGGTTCCTAACCGAGAAATTTGTTCAATGGTTTGCGAAACTGCTTTCAAAAAGTTTCAGAATATCTTGACAATTAAGCTTAATGAATTCCTCCCTGAGAAAAAACGATCTGAAGAAATTGGGAATGATAACCAAGTTAAAAAGGCTGCTGCAAAACAGAATGCACCAAAACAGTTCTGGTTAAAAGAGAAGTCCAGCAAAAAAAGAGATATTTACGAAAAACAGAATAGAAAAGTGATAGCAATGAACGTTATTTCTAGCTACAAAGACTAGATAAACAAGTGAAGAAAGGGAGTAGAGAAAACTTTCAATGAGGAAAGGAAACCAAAAAAAGGCGGCAGGATATAGATGAATCAAAGTTGATCATTTTTTATGTTTTTTTTTCTCCAACAATAGGGGAGAAACTTGCAAAGAGAATGGACAAGAGGAGCAATCCAATTTTAACTACCACTTCCAATAACTTCATTCAAAAAGTGCATCAAAAAGCATTAAACGAGACTAGTAAGTGGCTGGAGAACAATACTATTACTCTTAACACTGACAGCTGTTTGTGTTGAGGTTTTCAATATGTTAGGGGAGGCCGAGGGCTCGGTGATTTTTAATGATCAGACAGCATTTAGTGAAGTGGACGTTAATATTGTTATTGCTGATGCCATGTCGAATGATAATAACTTCACGACGTCGAGCTGCACCTCGATTTGTGTGTTGGCTCTGAACTATCTTGGAGGTCCCTAGAAGAGTCCATGGCTAGAACTTGATTGAGCTAGGAAGTCCGTATTGGGTCAGTTTGCTACATCCAAAGTCGCACATTCCTGTATTAAATCACTACTGCGCCAAAAACAGCGACAGCTCTCTAATCTCAGGCCACAGATCGGGGCAAAAACTTGTGAAGCATCGTCATAACCAAATTTTGAATGATTTTTGTATTCAGCTTCTATTTCAAGTTTACTTCCTAGATGACAATTTCAATTTTGATGATTACGGGGTCATTTCCACGATCTGTTGACAGGCTGGATAGGCTGGATAGTTTCTTACCGTAACAAGGCTAAATTCATCGAAGAAGAACGCAAAATAAAGCTTGTCGAGGTTTGAAGCATCTAAAGAGTTGTCATTTGATTTCACTACCTAGATTTTTGCACAGTGTCTCCACGCTTTCTAGGTTTCCGTTTTTCTCCAATGGCACTGGGACTATGTTTACTGTGCAGGTGTTTATGTTTTGCAAGTGTTTCATCCGATTTATTGGTGCCTGGCTTTGAATAAATTATTTCTAATTCTAAGGAGGCGCTTTCGTCCTAAAAAGGCCATTCTTTTTCCGCTGTATCAAGTAAACTTAACATACAGCAAGCTAAAATGATTCATGTAGATTTACAAAATGAGATATTCCTTGATGCTATTTTGAGAACAGCGATCAGATAAGAATCTTAGAAGGTTGAATATTAGGACGAAATACGTGGTTGAAGTACTTTCCATCCTTCTGAAAGATAGAACCTTTTGCCGTAGACTGTTTTCAGTAGACCTTGTGCCGAGAAGACTGTTTTTAAAAAATCGCAAGGTATTGAAGATCGTTTGCTGTTCTTGCAATGAGCGCGATATTTTTAAAGAGTTGATGTTTTTTAAGAGTAGATGAACGTAATTCAGACTCGGTAATAGGTCTTGATGATTTTTTTAGTTATTTTTTTTCAGGAAGTCTTTTAAAATTTATTCAGACTCAAATGTAATTTTTCGCGATTGAAATTTTGATTTCTTTTTAAGTTTAGTTCATATCCTTTGTTAAAAGGAAGGCGAACTCCACTATCGAACAGCAAAAGGGTAAATTTCATGCATAGCGTGATTGACGTTTCGAAAATGGGATTTAGTTTTAAGATTTCCCAGCGAAATAAAAAGCATACCTATTGATCCAGTTTTCTCAAATTGGGTTAATTTTATTGGGTTACTCTATTTTAACTGTTTTCTGCAAAGTTTGAGTTTTAACTTTAAATGGTTTTTCCATTGGAACGACAAACTTTCGAAAAAAAATTATTCGACGTTTTTTTGCTATAATTGTTTTGTGGTAGAACATACATGGCAAGGAGACAGCAAGCGGGCAATCCAATCGTGTTTAAATAAATTGTTTGAGGAAATAGGTTCGAAATTTGAGAAATAGTCATCGGCCTCCTGTATCTTTTCATTTTTCTTTCTATACAATTATCTTCCTGAGTCTATCATTAATCGTTTTACTTCTTAATCTTGCCATTCTTTTAAAATCTCCAACAGGAGAGTCCGATGTCATCTGCTCTAAGTTTGCTCTTTTCAGTTTTAAATTCTTTTGGCAAAAAATGGCCAACTTTATTCTCGAAAATCAAAAGTTTCTTCAGTTTGCTGTTAGCAAGCATTATTAAATTGGATTATGGATATGTCTAACAAAATCACTGACTAAGTTTCCTACCTGAATTCTCTGAATTTTTTTAACCAACAGTCAAATTTTTAGCATTTTTTTTTTTTAAATATTTCTATTCAAAATTTTTTTTAAGTTGGTTGTAAATTTAACTAACTCCGATATGGTAAAGTTCAGCTTTTTCGTTTTTTCTTTTCATTTTGTTCAGTCTAAAAAATTTTAACTTGGGTATTCTCGGTCCAGATTAATCATTTCGCGTCGTTTTTCTGATCTGTTTATTTAAAGATTTTGTTTTCTGAAATTAACTTTTTTTTCAGCTCAACAGGTGTCTGCTCAAGTATTGTCGGCTTTAGAACCGCTGCGTAATATTTCTTCCGATTCTAACTCAACTTTAAGCTGTGTTACTTGTAGTATTTGTCTTAAAATGAACTTCATAGAGGACAGATTCAGACAAACATTCTTTATTTTAAATTTTCTGTTCATGTTCCTTTTCGGCGTAGCGGCTTTCGTCTTATTTCCTGTTGGCTAATTTGCCCCGGTATTTAGGATTTATCCAAATGACGCGAAGCTCTGCTTTGCTTCTAGGCTTAAAACATGGATTTTAATGAAAAATTTTGATCACCAAAAGCTTTTAGGTATTTTTTGGAATTCTTCTTCATTGATACTGTTTTGGCTCTATCTTTTGATTGATTTATGAGTGGTAGTGTCTTCAGGATGCCCTGTTTAAAAATAGTTTGGGAATCTTTTATAAAATGATGTTTCTTTGATTATAATTGATGTCATTAAAAATTCTCATTTCGAAAATTTGAAAGATAGTGTAGAGATTTTAATTAGATCCAAAGTTATCTGCTCGCGTTTACATAATTGGACAATGAATGGGTTGTTGTCTTTATAGAAGGGCGACGGCTACGTTGACAGCGAGAAGAAACTGAAGAAGATCTTCTCAGCTGTGGAAGTGGCACTGGGGTTGAAGGAGTAGAAGAGAGGAGATCAGACTCACATGGCCGACTGAGATGAGCTAACTTAATACACCTCTACTAACAAGTGCCAAGAAACGACATGAACAGAACATTACATTGAACAACAGTGAGTTTCAATTGGGTTATGCTGGTTCATTTATTGGCATAGTAATATAATAATCATAAAATAATAGTAATTATAAATTGGATTGTTAATCGTGCCAGTTGCAGTACATAAATATGCTATCATGCACTGAGCACCATCTTGAGCGGAAGCTGAAGGTAGCTAGAGTTTTATTCAACATTTTATGCCAGTGGTTTCCTTTCAAGGTTTTCGCCGGCGTTATAGGACGGCTTTTAATCTATTTTGAGAGTTTAAGTCATTACAATCATACCATTTGACTTTGAAATTGAGTCAGCTTGAAATTTTTATATAATTTTTTTTCTAATGGCTCAAAGTAATGGGTGGTTTTATTGTTTCCTGGTATCTTGAGCAATCGTTGGCTATCTGATTACTTCTTTTGTTATTCCAAAGGGATGTATCAAGAATTCTTTTGCTCATCATTTACCACAATTGTTTTCCGATATATTTGCTTTTCACAGGTGGGCGATCTGTGTCGCAATCTCATGTAACAATGCATTGTCAAAACGTTGATTTAATGTCATTAATTTATTTTTCAGCTGAGAAGCATAGAAATGACGTCTGCATGCAGAAAGGTTACTATTTGACCCCTCTGCAGACTGACACGGAATAACCGATCAGAAATGGCTGGATTCTGTTGCTCCGAAGTGTTAAGTTCAATGTACTGGACTGTACCATGTGCTAGTTTGTTAAGTTTGTAAATTAATCATAGAAATTGATATCATATGTTGAACGCCGTTTACTCCCATGTACAGGAAGAGTTTCACCGATCATTCAAACTCAATCGGAACATTACTAATTAATTTTCAGCATATTTGAAGTCAAGTCGGTTTTGTAATTTTCTTATTTTGCGGGTATTGATTATTGTTATTTTATGCTTGATATTTTATCAGCAAATCCGAAATTTTAGACCATGACCTTAATTGATAAATGTCCATTGAATGCGAGTAAACCGGCTAAAGGTCACTGATGCTAATTTAGAAGTCATTCGATAGATAGAATTTGCTCAACCTGTTTCCACTTTCACGTATGAACTTTCTAAGCTGCGTTTAATTGAAGTTGTTTTGAAGTCAAAAATGAATCAACTTAAACATGCATTCATTCGAAATTATAAAATATGATGAAAAAGCTAATTTATTTTATTTGAGATAAAACGAATTATAATGAGTTTAGTTTGTGTTCATACCGTGTTCATCTGAGGCATTCATGTTAGAACTATTTTGAAATACAAATTCATTTTAACTCATCTGTGTTTTTTTTCTAGCTAAGAAGTAGCTAAGATATGAGAACAGTGTTATCAGAAACAATTTTTCGATATGGACGTTTGGCCTAAATGGCGTTAGGGCTTAAACAACAGCACTAGGATAAACCTTATATGGTATCGTATTGCTAAGATTAAATTTCGCCAACCAGATCTGAGGAGAATCCAGAATATATGGATAATAATCTAAAATAATAAGGATTCATTATTTAAAGGATTTAATGGGAATCTGAATCTTGTGCCCTTAAATGAACATACGATTGCTCAGCCAGCAAGGATATTGCGACCGGTTGTTACACTTTGACTTTAGATTTCTCAGGTTAATTGACTTCCAAGGCTTCTATAATGCTCATGATGTGGCGCGCTAAGCTAAAGCAAGTTGGTAATTGAACCGTAATTAGTTTTTGTAATTGAACCGTAGGTAGTTTTGGTAATTGAACCGTAGGCAAGTTGGTAATTTTTATGCGCATTAAAATGGATAAAAAACGTGCTACTAACTACAGATATGAAAAAAAAAGTTAGAGCGACTTAAAAAGGGAACTCCTATTATTAAAACACGCGTTTGCACAAAATTCAAAAGGAATCCAAAAAAAATAATTTTCTTCGGTGTAAATAGTTTTTGTTTCCACCATTGCAAATGGGGAGAAACTTTTGTTTTCCTATGTTTTAAAGTGTTTTTTTAGAGATTATATAGATCTTGCTGATTTTTTTTGTTTTCAGGAAAAAGTCTTAAATTTGTTCATGCTCGGTCTTGGCTCTTTGACTTGTAATTTTTTTCAAGTTCAGTGCATTTCCAATGTTAAAAGAAAGGCAAACTCCACTAGCGAACAGCAAAAGTGGAAAAGTCACAAAAAATGTGATCGACTTCTAATTTTGAAAATGGAAATTGTTCTATATATGGAAATTGTTCTATAAATTCAAAGAGCTATAAGGTCATATATTTTCTTCGAAATTCAAACATTGAAGGTTTTAAAAAAAACAAGTCAGTTTTTTTTCAGTTTCCTTGAGTTCACTACTCCTTTCCAACTGTCAGTTGGCTTTGTTTTTGTTTTCCACGCAAAAGCAGATTTCAAAAATAATCATCAAAATGGGTCAAGTGATATATCATATTTAAGCCCTTGCAGTCGTGATTCGAACGCCAAAAAAACTTTCGAAATGTTGTCCCAGTATCGAGAAAAACTGTGAATCGTGAATGTTAAGTAGTTGTTGAGAAACAGCACAAACGCGAAAAGTATTTCGTTAATTTTGTCACCTGAAACTAAAAGTTCCATTTTCTATGTTCCGTGACTGGAAATCGCGAGTCTTTTTTTGCATTTTTGTAGGAAATTTGCTTTTTCGTGGTTTGTCTTCAAGGTCAGTTCATTCCTTTGATAAAAGGAAGGCAAACACCACTTTTGAGCAGCAAAGTTGTTAACAGCCAAGAAAACGATTTTAATTCATGAAAAACTGAAAGTGGAATTTATATTTTAGATTTAACGGAATAAAAATTGTAACCTGAAAATGTGTACTCAAGTTGGGTTAATTTCATCACAAACTGTCGATCACAAATGAAAATGAAAATAAAAGAGCGTTATTGTCATCAAATTTTTCTTAGAAATTCGAAAGTTGCAGTTTGGTTCAAAAATACAGTCAGTATTTTTTCCGTTTCCTTACATTGATGACTTTTTTTGAAACTTTCTGTTGGCTATGTTGACGAGTCTTAAATGGCTTTTTTATGAAGCAAAGAAAGCTACTGCACAGCTAATTTAAAATTAAACACTTAAATCAATGCATTTTGATTAAGATTCACGAACGTAGTGAATAATATTTTAAGGTTCATGCTGTTTTTTTTTCTGGAATTCTTTAAATTAATCCAGGCCAAAGTTAGATTTTTCGTGGTTTGACTTTTGACTCATTCTTCAAATCGTTTTTTTTTTCCTTCGTTGAAAGGAACGTAAACTCCACTAGCGAACTGAAAAAGTGTAAAATTAACAAAAAACGTAATCGACTTCTAGTTTCGAAAGTGGAATTTAATATTTAAATTTCCCGACGGAACGTTAACTCAAATTTTGCCAACTGTTATCAAAAATAGTGTCAATTTTTATCAAAACAGTGTCGATCACAAATTCTTCTTTAAATTCAAAGAGCTTCAAGGCCTTGCAATTTTTCTTTGAATTCCGGAAGTTTTTTCTCTTTAATTGCGCTCGTGACTCTTTTCCAAATGTCTGTTGGCTATGTTTTTCGAGTGGAAAATTTATTAATAGTTATTAATGATAAACAAATCACAAATTTTGAGCAAAACGACGAGCAGAAAGGCAACTTGAGTTTTAAAAAGCTTCAAAACGTATAGGATTTATCCCACTCTCAGTTGTCACCGTCACTGTTGTCTTCTCGGATATATGAAAAAACCAAAAAATGACGAGCGTTTTTCTTCATGGCGTTAGTTAAATGAAACATCGAATCCGATTTTATTTACTCTTGCATAAAAGTACTTCCAATTGGTCTACTGCTTAGTTTAAATTAAAAGTAAGTGTGGGTACATCAAATTTTTCCACCATTGTTTCTAAAGTAGTTTTGAATTTTTCCACTTTGTAAGATGGGCAAAAGTTTCTCAGCTCTTGGAAGATACTAATAGTTTCGCTAATCTTGAATAAGAAATCTGTTTAGGCCTGTGGCTTCTTAAATCAAAACCGAATGCTTGTCTTTTTTATTCCAGTTGTCTGTTAATTTATTGCTTTAACTATTAACCAAATTAATTTATGCTTTTACCAATCTCTTTCACTTGTGCTGACTTTCAAACTATCATTCAGTGTTTCTCACCATTAATAATTTTTCAGGCGATTCTACTTCATCTGATAGCATGTAATAATTAAGGTGTCATTAATTGAAGCGCTTCAAACATTGCGGCAAAGGCAAAAAAACTCAAAATTACTAATTGACGCTCAAAACGTGAAACGGAATTCGGTTGAAAATGTTTGTTTTTTGGAATATCTTACTCGCAAAATCAGGTGACAATTGATATATCTCCTGGTTGGCCTTTTGGGTAGCGCATTTTAACTCTAGATAACTCTTTGCTTAAAATATCTAACAATTTTACTAAGGATCAATGAACGGAGAGAAGACGGAGTTTGGGGGCTTGTGGTATTTTTTTATTCAGTGAAAAGTCCTTAACTTCGATTCAAATTCTACCTGAAAAAAGGCAAAACACCTGTTAGAAAAAATACGAATAACAATGATTGAGTTAGTTTTATTACACTTTCGAGAGCAAACTTCGGGTAAGCAGGAGCTACTTTTCTTGCGAATCTGTAAGGCATTTAATTTGTTTTATTATTGAACCTTCCAGGTTCCTTCTCATTTGGCTTTGAGGTAACGCGGTCTTCTTTGCACTCTCAAATCTGGGGGTATATGAATATGAAAATTTTTGTCGGACAAAATTTCGTTTGTCTGCACAAATTTTTACGGTTTAGTTCACGGATATTTTTGTACTGGTAGCAATTTTCATATTCTTTCAGTGTTGTTCATTGTAGTTTCAGGTGTAACTTTCGTTTTTTGACCAGCTGTTGTCTGCTCAACAATTTTTAGCTTTTTTCAGCTCCTTAAGTTTTATTTGTTGCTGATATAAAATTCCAGAGTCTTATTTGGCTTGTTTGCCTAAAATGAACTTCTATCGAGAAAGTTTCGTTAAACTTAGTTTTTCATAAAAAAATATTTTTTCCGATTTCTGGTGTTCTTATGCTTCTGTTGGGTCGTAGGTAGAACCATACTCCGCTCTGCTTCCGTTTCAAATAAACGCCAATCCGAATCGCTAATCATAAAGATCAGAAATTCAAAGAACAACAATGATATGTATGTTCTTTGAAAGTGGATACTTTTTTCATCTTTCTCTCGGCCATGTTCTTTCCTGTTTGCTCCGTCGACTTTTATAAATGCCCCGAATCAATCAAGTAGTAAAAGTTAAATCCATTTCGTTCATCAATTGTTGTTTGAGAACGAATAACCCCATTTTAAGGTTGATTAAAGCGATATGAAATAAAACTTCCTATGAGTTTTCCCTGTTTCTAATTTTTAATTCTTGCAATCAGCAACGGTTACTTAACCGAGTACTAGACTTGATTCTTGTATATAATTTTGTTCACAGTATCTCCAATTTTAGTTGATCTTTACTATTTGAACCGGGCATTTAGAATGCATGCCTTCATTTTATATGCCAAATTCGTTCAAAAATTGAGTCACGTTTTTGGTAAGGTTACCAACTCCGAGGTATTGAAGTTTTTTCTTTTTTGAACCTAATTGGCTTCAAAAGTTTCGTCTTATAGAATGCTGATTTAAAATAACCGGACTAAACAATTTAAACTCGAACTTCCAAATGCATTTTTCTCAAATTGGGTTAAGATCAGACCAAAGGTGACGAGAACAAAATTTGCTCAGAATTTTGCCAGACTCATTATGGTGCATTTTTTTCTCCAAAATTCTCAACCAAAATTTTTCCCCAAAAATGGGTAATTTTTTTTTTCAATTAATCAAAATATACGCTGAAACTACTTTGTTAATTGATGAGAAAAATATATATCACAAGAAGCATCTTACACAGCCCAACAAAGTTTCAGAAAGGATGAATCTCCAAAAGTTTGAGTAAAATGTCTGAATATTGTTTTTAAGCAAAGGTTTTGGGTTTTTAGACGAACAATTACGTTTCCCTAATACATTTTTGTTAAACAGATTTTTGGAGATTTAACTCTTCTAGAACTTTGTTGGGCTGTGTAAGAGGCTCCTTGTGATTTTTAATTCTCATCAATTAACAAAGTAAATTCAGCGTAATTTTTGATTTATCGAAAAAAACCAAAATGACTCGTTTTTGGGGTAAACTTGTGGCTGAGAATTTTGGAGAAAAAGTTGCACCATATTAAGTCTGGTGAAAGTCTAAGCAACTTTTGTTCTTTTCACTTTTGGTCTGATCTTAACCTAATTTGAGAAAAATGCATTTGGAAGTTCGAGTTTAAATTGTTTT